TTCAGTCACACATCTTTCAGACACACCTTCCCTATCACTTCCTCTCTTCAGAAATTGGAACCAAGCTACCAATTTTGAGCCCCTCTCCTCTCAGAGATCTTTTGAAGCCTAACTTCTCTCTCTCTGCATATTAAGCAGGGAAGTCTGTTGGTGGTGAGGGACTTTTCTTGTCTTGGGTTGGGACTCTTGTTTGTGAGGGATTAGGTACAACCATAAGGCAGACTTCCACATCTCTTTTGTGATTGGCTTGGAGCCTTTGAGGTGGGCTGGGGAGGGCTCCTGGTGCAGGCCTCCCACAATTCCCTGAGGCTAGCCCCAGGCTCTTGACTGCCAGGAAGCCCTGGTGACTGAGAGATGGGGTGAAGGTTACAGCGTGTGTGTGTGTGTGTGTGTGTGTATGACAGAGTGGTGGTTTGCAGACATAGATTTTATATAAAATCACAATTTTGACAGTTCAGACAGCATTAAAAGTGAACTTAAAACCTGTTTAAGGGGCTGTCTCTGTTGCATACTGGGGAACGCCATCGCCTGCAGTACAGGCATCCCATATGGGAGCCGGTTCGAGTCCCTGCTGCTCCACTTCTGATCCAGCTCTCTGCTATTGCCTGGAAAAGCAGCAGAAGATGACCCAAGTCCTTGGGCCCCTGTACCCATGTGGGAGACCTGGAGGAAGTTCCTGGCTTTGAATCAGCACAGCTCCGGCCATTTTGGCCATCTAGGGAGTAAACCAGCAGATGGAAGGCCTCTCGCTTGCTTGCTGTCTCTCTCTGTAACTCTGCCTTTCAAATAGATAAGTAAATCTTTTTTTTCTTTCTTTTTTTTTCTTTTTTTTTTTTTTAAAAAGGCTGTTTTAGAGACAGTAGCTTTTAAAGTTGAAAAACAATCCAGTGCTATGGCACAGCCTGAGTGCCAGCATCCCATACAGGCGCCAGTTCGAGTCCTGGTTGCTCCACTTCCAATCCAGTTCCCTGCTAATGTGCTTGGGAAAGCAGCAGAGGATGGCCCAAGTCCTTGGGCCCCTGCACCCACATGGGAGACCTGGAAGAAGCTCCTGGCTTTGGCCTAGCCCACCCCTGGTCGTTGCAGCCATTTGGAGAGCGAACCAGCAGATGGACGACCTCTCTCTCTCTTATAACTCTCCTTTTCAAATAAATAAATAAATAAATCTTTAAAAAAATAAAGTTGAAGAATAGAATTAAATATTTCTTGATTCACTTTGTTTGAATTACCTTTCTTTCTAAAAATTTTTTCATTTGAGAGGCAGGCAAACAGAGCTGCCATCCATTGGTTGACCCCTAAATGCCCTTTAACAGCCCAGGTTGGGTTGGGTTGGGCTGGGCTGAAGAGGAGAGCCTGGAACTGAATTCTAGTCTCCCACACTGGTTAGCAGGGGCCAAAATCACCTGAGCCATGCTTGCTGCCTCTCAGTGTGCCCATTAGTCAGGAGCCAGACCCTGGGTGTTAGACCCAGGCATCATGATAGGAGGCATGAGCTTCTTATCCTCAAGGCCAAATACTCACCCTGTGGTTTTGGTGTGTGTGTGTGTGTGTGTGTGTGTGTGTTTTCCTTAGTGCCTGAAAAAAGCTATGAAGTGTTGTGCTTTTAAACATTGGTGCCATGTCAGTTCCTTTTTGGATGTTGGGCATAAGCCCTCTCTGCATTCATGGGAAGGGTTGGGTTGTGCTGGTGGGGTCTGGTGTATCCGTCTGAGAGGCTGAGTTCTGTCATTAAAACTGAGGTTCAGGTCGGTGCCGTGGCTCACTTGGCTAATCCTCCGCATGCGGTGCTGGCACACTGGGTTCTAGTCCTGGTTGGGGCGCCAGGTTCTAGTCCCAGTTGCTCCTCTTCCAATCTAGCTCTCTGCTGTGGCCCAGGAAGGCAGTGCAGAATGGCCCAAGTGCTTGGGTCCTTGCACCCGCATGGAAGACTGGGAGGAAGCACCCGGCTCCTAGCTTCAGATCGGCACAGCGCCAGCCGTGGCATCCATTAGGGGAGTGAACCAACGGAAGGAAGACCTTTCTTTCTGTCTCTCTCACTGTCTAACTCTTTAATTCTGCACATTGTCAGTAGCCATCATCAAAATGGTGTCTGTTCCTTTTTGTTCTACTCCGTGTAGACAGAAATCGGGAGGACCGTCCCAGTGAGGATGAACTGAGTAGAGACATCCTTTAGCTCAGAGAGGACATGGGAAAGAGGAAATCGTGGTTCTCTAAGTAAGTGAGGTCCCCGGGGCAGCAGCACCTGAAAAGTTGCCGGGAGTGCAGGTTGGTGGGGCCCAGCTGTGTGTGCTGTGCACACTCCCCGTGTGAGCCTGCTGCTTGCCCTCCATTGAGAGGAGGAGGGAGGCTGTGGCAGAAGAGCCTTCTGACTGGAGCTCAGGCGCCGCCTTGAAGCTGTCCAACCCTGAGGTCTGTGCTGTGCAGTGCTCTCCCTCCCATCCTCCCCGCGAAGGAGCTGTTGGATCTCAAGCTGTTTGAAGAGCCCATGAATATTCAATAAACAGGTGGCTCTGGTTGGTTGTAGGCCCCTTAGGGGTAGGCAGGGTGGGAGGGAGCACCCACTGGATGCCTCAGGACTGGGGGTCTCTAGCCCAGCCCTGAAGCTCAGGGTCCTTTGGGCCACTGTCTGGAAAACTGCACAGAAGGCAGGGCTCTGGGCTTGGGTCTTCCCAAGGCCAGGCAGGAGACAGAATGAGGTGTTGGCCCCAGGGTGACCTAGTAGGCGGGCCCCTTCCCCAGTGTTCCCTGGGAGCCCTTAATGAGCTCCTGCTACTGCCCCTGTCTCGGGGATGAGGCCTGGTGAGGCCTTCTGAAAGGTCACGTGCCGCTCCCATCGTGGGCTTAAAGAGCCATTGTTACTTCCTCACAGTGCCTCAGGAAAAGGGGCTGCTGTGGAGTTGCCCACCCTGGACTTGAGCAGCCAGAGCCAGGCCCAGCATAGAGGCAGGGTCTGGCTTCTTGCCCTCTGGTTGTCAAGGGCATGTCTGGGCTTTTCTTCTTTAAATTGTTATACAAAGCCCTGAGAGTGAGAGTGCTCGCTACCCTTCCCCGCGCTGAATGTTGGAGGCCTCTCCTGGCCATGCTAATTGCAAAGTTACTGCAGCGTGTTAAGCAAACTTTGGGCATGCCTCTATTTTAAGCAACAATGTGGAGTAGATTTTACATTGCATTTTATTCCTTTCTATTGCAATTGAAATAGAAATGGGATTAAGATCAGTGTTGTATGTGTTTTGTAATCTTACTGGGTATGTGGAGACCACTTTGTCTCCCAGTACAAAATAGAGAAATGAAAGCAAGCCTGCTTTGAGACTTGCTCCATCAGGGGTCCTTATGTACACACTTGCAGAGCATCCGAGGTTCAGTGCTTGGAGCAGTTCCTGCTCGTAGGTTTTGCCTTTCAGCGCCCTCCCCTTGCTGGCAGCTGTCTTACCAGGCTATCCCTAAGTCATTGGGATTATCACACCACTGTGACCAGCTGGGCCATTCTCATTGGAAATTAGGGACTTCTTGTATTGAAATCTCTCTGAAAGTGTCTCCACAGGTTTTTCAGCTGTGGGAATTCTGGTAAATGCCTGTAGAATTGCATGGCTTATATGCTTTTTAAATAAGTGAGTTCCATGAGTTCAATGATTATTTCTAGGGAAATGTTACTGATAAAACACCTTTCATTCTTCTGGTAAAAAGTCTTTGAAAACAGTTAATTCTAGGGGCAGGTGTTGGGGCACAGCAGTTAAACCTCTACTTGGGATATCCATATTCCATATCTGAGTGCCTGAGACCAAGTCCCACCTCCCCTTCCCTTCCTGACCATCCAGCTTCCTGCCAGTGGGCATTCTGGGAAGCAGCAAATGATGGCCCGCGTTCTTGGGTTTCTGACACCCACATGGGGGACCTGGATAGAATTCTTAGGCTTTGGGGGCACTTGGAGAGTAAACCAGATCAAAGATCTCTCCCTCCCTCTCTGCCAATCTGCCTTTCAAATAAATAAATGAATCTTTTAAAAACGTATAAACAGTTCTACATTGATCACTCAAAAAGTCTATGCCATCCTACGTACACGTTACCTTTCCTCTAGGAAACCAATAAGAATTAAAAGTGACAGTGAGCTTGCTAATTCATTTTTACTTGTATTTTGGTTCACATTTAAGATAAGGGACCATGTTATCCACCCCCCCCCCATCTTTTTTATTTATTTGAAAGGCAGAGAAACAGACACAGGGAGATCTCTCATCTGCTAATCTATTCCTCAGATGCCCACAACAACTGGGACTGGGTAAGGCAGAAACCAGGAGCCAGAGCTCAGTCTTGGCCTTCCACATGGACGCCCTGGACAACTACTTGAGCCATCACCTGCTACCTGCTGCCACTCAAGGTTCACATTAGCAGAAGAGTGGGAATGGAAGTAGAACCAGGACTGGGCCCACTAACTGCTGTGCCATTTTAAGATTTTTATATTTATTTATTGAAGATTTATTTATTTATTTGAAAGTCAGTTACACAGAGAGAGAAGGAGAGGCAGAGAGAGAGAGGGGTCTTCCATCCGCTGATTCACTCCCCAGTTGGCCGCAACGGCCGGAGCTATGCAGATCCGAAGCCAGGAGCTTTCTCCAGATCTCCCACACGTGTGGCAGGGGCCCAAGGACTTGGGTCACCCTCCACTGCTTTCCCAGGCCACTGCAGAGAGCTGGATCAGTAGTGGAGCAGCCAGGACCTGAACCTGCGCCCACATGGGATGCCGGCACTGCAAGTGGCGGCTTTACCCACTACGCCACAGCACCAGCCCCTATATTTATTTTTGAGAGGCAAAGAGACCGACAAAGATCTCCCATCTGCTTATTCACTACCCAAATGCCCACAATGGCAAGAGCTGAGCAAGGCAGAAGTTAGGAATCCAGAACTCCATCTGGGTCTCTCATATGGGTGGCAGGGGCACAGCTACTTGAACCCTCATCACTTGCTGCTTCTTGCAGATTGCATTTGCAAGGAGCTGAAACTGGGAGCTGGGGCTTGAACCCAGGCACTGCAGTATTGGAACTAGGCATCATAACGGCTAGGCCAAATCCCTGCCCTGCTCCCGCCTCCATCTCCCCCACCCGCATGTGCGTGCGCACGCATACACACACACACACACACACAACCTTTCATGGGCTTTTGTAGAACACATTAAAATAATTACTTGAAAAAAGTAGAAATACAAAGATGGAAACAATAGAAACGCCACATTTTTAAAAATAATGTTTAATTGGAAAACTCCACTTTTAAATGTTTGTTGATTTTTGTCTACGTGAAAAGCAAAGCAACAGGGGGAAGGGAGAAGAGAGAGAGAGAGATCTTCTATCCGTTGATTCACTTCCCAATTGTCTGCAACAGCTAGGGCTGGACCCTCCCAAAACCAGGAGTCTGAGTCCGGAACTTCTTCCACATGGATGGCAGGGGCCCAAGGACTTGAGCCATCATCTCTTCCTCCCAGGGTAATTAGCAGGAAGCTGGATTAGAAGCAGAGGCTAGTCTCTACCCCAGAGGATATGAGATGTGGTTGATGTCCTAAGCAGCAGCTTAACCTGCTGTGGCACGATGTCTGGCCCAAGAAGCTCTATTTTACAGTTAGATTTGGAGACATACAATTACTCCTTATATTTGCTGTAAAAATTCCCAAATAATAGAGTATGTCTGGTTACCTCATCATTGACCAATAACAGTTCACAGCCAGGCACCTTCCCTGAACCACACTTTGAAAAACATTTTAGAGTATACATGTATTTGTGTACTCAAAAACACATTTAAATGTGTTGGCATGATCACAGTGTGACATAACATAGATCATATAACAACTTTCTATGAGAACTGAATGCTCTTAGAAGCTCTTTGGCAAAAGTGAAATTTTTCTGGAAGTATTTAAGTACATTGTAAGCAAACACAAATGGTATAATTGTGAACAGCTATGAGTTTCAAAACCCAGTTGTCTGGTAACACTTCTGATGCATTAAAGTAGAAAGGGTTTTGCAAATTGAATTGAAACCGCCTCCACTCAGATTCACCCTCAAGTTTAAATGAGCACACATTCTTTGGGTAGGAATATACAAATGACACCATTAGCACTAAACAGTAGGGAATATGTGTGGCCCATGCCGGGTCAGATAAGTCAGTTGTCACCATCATAACCTTCCTTGCCTCTGACAACTGCTGGTCATGGGACGGGTCTTGGGTCCTAGTGATTGACAGCCCTTTCCTTAATGTTTACAAAACGAGGGGAAGTTAGTCTTACAAGTAACTTCCCAGTCACCATAAGCACCAGCATATCTCAGACTGACTCTAACATTGATAGTTGGCAGCCATATTCATCTGTCTCCTCAGGGACCGACACATGTGAAACCAGTCACTCCAGGTGGAACTTAGATGCCAGGCTCCATGTCTGCCTTGAGGGGCAGTGTGGCTTTCTTTTAAGCAAGCACTGGAAGAAAGTTCTGTAACGGTTCTGTTCTGCTTAGCCCTACTTCTTTATGGTGAGACTCCGAGTCCCAGTGATGACGTATAGGAGGAGCTCTTCCGCCTCTTGAAGACCAGACTTTATTCACCTGGGACTGCCACTGTGCCTAGCAGAGTCCCTGAGACGGTGGAGGTGTGGAGGGAGACACACGCAATCACCTGCAGCAATTCAGTAAGAGAAAAGTGAGATTTAAGGAGGAAAACTGGGTAACTATGAACCAACTATCTGCTTATGAAGATACCAGAAAGAGAGGGTTGCATTGAGGCAAGGATTAACACATCTCTGCGTGTTGTAGCACAAGTGAGAGCGTGGTTTCATTAGAACCTGGTCTGGACAACAAAAGGACAACTGTATTAATGAAGTGGTTAGAAAGTGAGGTCTGGGAGGTAAAGGCTAATACTTGAGACTGTTGTGTTTAGACAGTAGGAGTCAGTGTGACCTTGGAGACATTCTCCAGAAGGTGACAACCAGCTGAAGACCAGTGTTCGCTAAGGCCAGAGCAAGAGAGGATGCGGCCCAGGCTGTGAGTGGCAGGTGAGATGGAGTAGGAGTTCCCTCTGTGGTTTTAAAATTCAACCTTTGGGCCCGGCACGTGTCCTGGTGATTAAGACTCTAGTTAAGAAGCCCATGTCCCATATTGAAGTACATGGGGTTGATGCCCATATCTGCTCCTGACTCCAGCCTTCTTACTCATGCACACCCTGGTAGGCAGTGGTGATGGCTCAAGTACTTGGGTCTCTGACACCCACTTTCCATGAGAACTGGAGAGCTGGATTGAGTTCCTGGCTCCCGCCCCAGCTGTTCCACACATTGGGAGAATAAACCAGCAGATGGACTCCTCTCTGTCTTACCTGTTTGTTTCCGTGTGTGACTCAAATAATTAAACATTTTTAAAAAATTCAGTGCATTACAAATTCTCCAGATCTAAGACACAAAGTCACTGTTTGAAATATACAAGTGTGTATGTATATATGTATGGGTATATGTGTATGTATATGTTTAACATATCTGGAATCAGTTGATATTTCATTATGAAATGTCTCTAGGACCCAACATCAATGTTTATAATCAGAGCAAATTACGTTAAAAGTTAATCCAGTTGCATTCAGACATAACTGTGTATGATGAAATCGAGCCAAGGAAAAACTTGGGTTGTGGAGCATGCATTCCTCCCCTTGGTTCCAGAAGGAAAAGTGGTGGCAGCCCAGCCGCTGTGGTCATTTAACACAGGCCAGGTGCTTCACCACATGTCACCACACAGGCAGAAAAGCTCTGTGCATAATGAGGAAGGAAAAAGCATTTTGAAAGTACACACAGTTCTCCCAAAATTGTACATGTTCCTTCGTCTCAAACTTGGCTCTTTTAATCATCCAAGATGTGTTCTAGCTGTAATTTATGACACCTATATCTGTTTAGGTCATAGCATTGTAAGTGTTTTCTTAGACTTTAAAAATAAATCTACTTGGGGGAGGGAAATTGAACTTGCATGATAATGTTAGGCATGCAAACGCAGGCACATGAACTGAGAAAGTCAAAATCACCGTTTCCATGGCAACTCTTAACTTGTCTGTGTGGTACACATTTCTCAAGAAACACATTCTGCAGACTACCTAGTGATAAAAACTGTTCCACTGCATACAAAGGTAGATTTCCCCATTGTCTCCGGTTCTGAAGAGCCTTCCCTGAATTAATCCACGGGTTCTTCCCAATAACTGAAGTCCGAGTCCTGACCGAAATCCGAGTCTTCTTTTTATTTGCACTCCTCGCGTCCTTTTCTTGGTAGAGGTCGGCCTTTGTGTGATTCACGGCGTGTGCTTCCGTTCTCTCTTGCAGATATATGTTGGGTAAAGGAGGAAAACGCAAGTTTGACGAGCATGAAGATGGGCTGGAAGGCAAAATCGGGTCTCCCTCCGACGGTCCGTCCAAGGTGTCTTACACCTTACAGCGCCAGACTATCTTCAACATTTCCCTTATGAAGCTCTACAGCCACCGGCCGCTGACCGAACCCAGCCTGCAGAAGACCGTGCTCATCAACAACATGCTGCGGCGCATCCAGGACGAGCTGAAGCAGGAAGGGAGCCTGCGGCCCGCCTTCGCGCCCTCCGCACAGCCCGCCGCCGCGCCGGGCGACAGCTTCCGGGACACGGCGCCCGCGCACCCCTGCGACCCCGGAAGCACTACGCCCCTGGAGGCCTGCCTCACCCCCGCGTCGCTGCTCGAGGACGACGACGACACTTTTTGCACTTCCCCGGCGGCCGTGCCGCCCGCGGCTCCCGCCAGACTCTCCCCTCCAGCCCTCCTCCCGCCGGAGAAGGACAGCTTCTCCTCCGCCCTGGACGAGATCGAGGAGCTGTGTCCCACATCTACCTCCACAGAGGCCGCCGCGGCCGCCACGGACGCCTCGAAAGGGACCTCCAGCGAGTCCGGGGGCCCGAAGGCCGAGGGGCCCCCGGAGTGCCGCGCGGACGACTCGAAACTCATGGACTCTCTGCCTGGGAACTTTGAAATAACGACGTCCACTGGTTTCCTGACAGACTTGACCCTGGACGACATCCTGTTCGCCGACATCGACACGTCCATGTATGATTTTGACCCCTGCACCTCCGCTGCGGGGACGGCCTCAAAGATGGCCCCCGTGTCGGCCGACGACCTCCTCAAGACCTTGGCCCCTTACAGCAGCCAGCCGGTCACCCCGAGTCAGCCTTTCAAAATGGACCTCACAGAGCTGGACCACATCATGGAGGTGCTGGTAGGGTCCTAAGACCAGGCTTCGGCAAGCGTGCCCGCAGCCCTGACAATTCTCCACACTGTGCATGCACCCTTGCTTGCCTTTTTCAGAAGAAAAGAACGTTTTACAAAAGGATCACACTAGTTTTTGCTTTGAGCAGAGTTGGAGTGCCTTCATCCAAGTATGACCACTTTTAATCCGCCGTCTGGAGTGGTTCCTCAGACTCGCTGCGTGGTGTAGGAGAGGGGACAGAGTTGCTAGGTCGAATGGCAGAAATACCCAGTTCAAGTGAAGCACAAGGATTAAGTCGGAAAAGCTGTAAATTGCATGTGCATATTTGTCTATTTTTTCTATAAGTTTTATTGCAAGACGTAAAAATGAAAAAAATATATATATATTATTTAGATGATCTCAGTCCCTTTTCTGGCATTTTTGCCCTGTATAGGTTGACTTGGCAATTCAGCCTTTTTAGAGGCATTAACTACTCCTCGTTAAGTGTTGCATTTACATGGCTGTTTAGAAAACTGCTACCCAAATTTATTTTATATTTTTGTACAGATTCTGCAGTTTATGATATTGTTTTTCTAAAAACAAATGCTGTTTATACATATGAGATAGCTATTTTGATAGGATTTGCTCACATAGTTCCTGCAAACTTCAGATGTACAAGTGGCACTTGTACTTTTATAGAGCTGTAATGTTTTATATGTGTATGGTGCAAGAGAACAGTGGATCAAATCAATCTGCAACTGATGTCCCCCAATGCAGACACACACACACACACACACACACCCTCCCTCCCTGCTGTAAGGATGGGCCAGGTGATATCACACCCAAATTTCACAAGCACTGACTCCCTGGCACAGACACCCGCCAGTACTGTGACTTCCAAAGCCAGAGCCACGTCTGCTCATCAAACTTGCATTAAGCAGTTGGCGGGAGAGGGCCATGGAGGTCGGGGTTGAAGTGATGGTTCTCCAGCTTCCTCTCCTGAGGGGAGGGCTACCCTCTTACTTAAGAGTGTATTTATGCCAAGTTTGCGCTTTTGTTTTTATTTATTTTTTTAATGAAAACCCGAATCTTTCCTTTTTGGTGTAATTTTTATGATGCCCTGAAATTCTACATCTGAACAAAATTTTCCAAAAAACAACCAACCTCTTCGGCAGAACTAAGCCCTGCTGCAGTGCTTGGGCCTCTTAAAAGAAGGACATCTCCCAGGAAGGCATCCATAATGTTGCTAGATTGTCTCTTCCAGCTTCCCCTCCCCGGAGCTTTTGTTCCCTCTGTTGCTAAGAGCTGAAAACTACACCTCGATGATTACCAGACTGAGCGCCACTCGCCTCTGGTGGCCGGCCCGGACACACTCCTAGAACAACCGTGACTCTGAACTTGGAGTTGGTCACCCGACACCACGATTTCCCATCAGGTTGCTGTCTTAACTCAGCTGCTAACTTCACTACACTTTACAAGGCTGTTTGACCCAAATACACAGACAGGACTTTCTATGCATGTCTCCCCTGTGCCCCCTGCCCCAGGACACCCTTAAGAAGTAGCTTTTGATCCCTAGTGGTGTGCATTTAATTTTAAACTGTTTTCAGTGTATCATGCTTGTTGCCGAAATTGTTTATGGCCTTTACGTTTCAGTTGTTTATTCTGATGGTACTTTAGCTGTTGAGTGCAGGTTACAACCTATATTGTTACGCAGATGGCTTCTTTAGGAATAACTTTTATATTTATTTAAAAATTTAAATTATGGGATTTTGTTTTTTCGTTGTTGTTATTGTTGTTGTCATTGTCGTTGGTCATTTGTCAATATTCAGTCACCTATTCTGCTCGCTTCTTGCCATGGATGAAAAAAAGACAACTTTATAAAATGGCACTTTAAACAAGCCATAAACAGTTTTATTTTTATAATGCACATGGCAAAGCAAATTTGTGATGAAGGAACTGCTCATCTAAGCAGAAGATTCCTGTATGATAGGATTAAATTTTCCTGCATTCTAATTTACTTTTTTCCGCACTTGAATGTGTTTTAAAGGCTAATTATCAACTCAGCAGAGCAGTGAGAAACTGATCAAATTGCACTTGTTCTCCTATAAGCAACCTCCACACAGACACCTCCTAACTGCTGCAAGGTGTCATTTCCTTTGATGGGACCAGGGACCATAATTAAGGTGAGGGTTGTTGGGGATGCTTCCAGTGTCACCATGCCTGTCCACTTGTTCTGTGGAGAACAAGTCTGCCCACATGCCAAGCTTTCTATAACTGGAGGAGCCTGCGAACTGGCCACATATCGCACACATCTCCATGCGTATGCAATGGTATTGATTATTCTCGACAATAACAGGGTAAAGCAGTTGACTTGCCATTGTTAAAAACTGATTTACAGTAACTTAGAACAACTGTATTTTCGTTGGATTAGCAAGTCATGTGTTTAAACAAATCCCATATGTTGGGCAACAATTCAAATAAGCAGAGAGAGAGAGAGAGATGTTGCCTAAACCTGGTTCTCTGACTCCCATGTATTTGTGAGCTTCAAAATGAAAACAAACATATCCCACCCACCCACCCCCAACAGAGGCAGGCAGATAGATGCTTTTTAACTCGACACCCTTGTGGTAAATCCTTGGTACTCAAAAGTCCACAAGACAGACGTGGGAAATTACTGGCCTGTTTTCAGTAAGAGCAAAAGCATCAGGGGTTCAAATTGTCTTTGTGTCGTATCTTTTACAAAGTGTGATGGATGTCCCAACAGGGAAGAGTAGGAGCCGGAGTGGAGTTGCCAGGTCCCAGTCGGAGTGTGGGATGTGCTTCCAGATGCCGCCTGGCAGCAGTGCCTTTCCCTTCATAAAAGACATCGTGTGGCATCCAGGGCCAGGCAGGCAGCTCGAGGTGCTTTCTGAGAAAGACATGCCGGCTGGGGCCAGGGCTGGGGCTGGGAGAGGACGATCATTGACAGTAATGTGCAATGAAGTGACAAGATGAGAGCAGAATCCCAAGAGCTTTGAATTTGAAGTGATTTTTTCCCCATAAGTTATTTATTCCTTTGTTCTGTGTAAATATATTTATTTTACTGTGGAGCGCTAACAACATCTGGATCGTAACATGTGCAGAATGTATGGTAGGAATGTATTCTCTTGTAGGAATGTAAATCTGTATCACAAGGGGGTCCCAGCCGGGCCCCCTGGGTCTTCTCATCGTATGCACAGTCCATGTTCCTTTTTACTCTCTTCTCTAATATGGGTCTATTTGAAATATGCAAAAGGTAGGGATGAGGAATGTTCTAATACCTCCAAATTTTTAAGAAAATGAAGCATCAAAGGGTTGATATTTTTTAAGGGTTTTTTTTTTTTTTTTTTTTTTTTTTTTTTTTTTAGCAGCACTTTCTCTTGATGACAGAAGAGGCGACTGTTCGGGCACCCTCGTTCATACCAAAGGGTGAGAAATGGGCCAGAGCCGCCTGCACACCTCTTGAGTGTCTTTACCAATTGAGCTTTCAATCGCCATAGCCCCTCGGAGTGCCCCAGCTGCCCTGAGGTCAATCAAGGAGAATTTCTTAACTACATAAGCTCCAAAGAGCCAAAGTATCAACTTACAGATCGTTTTTAAAGCTTAAATTTATTAACCACCTTTGCGGTAAACAATGAATTATGAATACCGCAAGGCAGCCTTCTTGAATGACAGTTGTTTAAAAAAAAGAGAGAGAGAGACTACTTTGTGCAGCGATTGTTATTCTACTCTCTATGAATTGTCTTAACTCAAAACCTTGCTGTTACAAATTGGACCTTTATACATTTTCTGAAAATGGCATATTTAAACCTGTTCTGGCTATAAATGGTTAACGGCCTGTAACTGTCCTGCACCTGACAGCGGCCAGGTGTATGTGTCCTGCTTATGTACAGTTGTCTTTGATGCTCCTAAGAATTGAGTCTCTGTGGTTCTCAAATTTAGCCAGGATCAAATGCTGTCGCAGACGAAGCCACTATCATTTTGGACTTCTTTAGGGGATTACAAGTTAGGAAGAGAAGTGCAGTCCATACGTGCAAATGACCGTGATTCTGAAAAAGAAGGTGTACATAGTGACACGTGTGGTGCATGGTTTTTGA